ATGTTATTGTTTGGTTATGATAATATATAACTTAAATACTTAAAAAATAGCTAAACGTAATAGTTTCTTTTTAGAAAGTGATGTTTGAATATTTTATTATTAAAATACAAAATTTATAAATAGAAAATTTAGTTAGTCAAATTTCATTTTATAAAGAATATTATTTTTCTAAATTTCCTTTTTTTCATTTTTCTATATTTACTCTAAGTTTTTAATCAACCTACTCTCTATTTGAAAATAGTAATCCATCATAAAAGTTCTGACATAAAGTGAATAATTCAGTCATATCAGTCATATCATAATTTTTATCGGTTCATCATTTATTATCTTTTGAGTAAGTTTTAAAAATTTTGGATGCATGTATGATAGAGGGGTTGCATGTGATTCAAAAGGATTTCAAATGAATATTTGTTTGTCTTATAGTATGTTTAAATCATTTATTTGAATTTTATATGTAGAAGTATTACATCATGTATGAGAGGAGGTTTTTAGATCTCTAACAAGACTTTCTAGTAGTATCTTAATTAAATGATTTGGTAGTAAATGTAACATTGTCATTTTAATTTATTTGAGAAATTTAGTGATATGTGAATGAATTTGTATAATTGAATTATGATTGAGATTTCTATTAATATGATACATGTAATGTTGTATGTCTCTTCCAGTAATGATCATTTAAGATATACATTTTAAGAATCAATTATTTTGTTTAAAGTCATTTTCAAACTAAACACAACACTTTTAACATAAGAAAGGAATAAAATTGTTTAGATAGGCCAATTGATTGATATGATATATTTGTTAAGTTAATAAAATTATGCAAACTTGTTGGACGAGCTATTCATTTGTTGATCGAAATTCGATTTTTGAAAATTCAGAGAGCTTAGTTTGTTTTACTTACTAGGCGAGCCTTTGCAAAAAGTTCCTGAATGATTGACTAGTTTGACAAATAAATCACTCGCTAAGAAAAAATTATCTAGAGATTTTTTGTATGCACTCTCAATACTTCTTCATTGGGCGAGTTAATTCCCTCTATGTGCAAAATACACTTAATTAAAATCTAAAGAGGATTGGTCATTGAGCGAGCAAAGTGTTCATTAGACGAGTATACCTCCACAGATATCTAAGTGAACGATGATGCTTAGTGTGCGATCTTGAATTTTAAATCTCTAAACTGTCTCATTTGGTTATTTGCTCATTCAAGGATATTAGAAAACTTTGAATATAAAAATAAATGTTATATTTCAGATTCTGAAATAAAAAAAAATGTGAGTATATAATCGAGTCACGTTAGGTGTTGAAATAGAAACAATAGGTTGTACAATAGGCATAGGAAAGAACAAGAAGTATTTATGTTTATTAATAGGACCATTAGATAATGTAAAGTAGGACCATTAAATTGATTATTAATAGATGTAAAATGAGTATCAACAAAATATAGGTTGAATAATAGTATAAGGTGAAGATAAAAATTATCTATTAGATGTAGTAGTTGAATGTAAAAAAGGATTAGAAGATATAAAATAAGATAGTAGACTTTCATTGAAAATAACATGCTTAAAGATGTAAAGATGTGCAAAAGTTGAAAAATAGGGATAACCTTTATGTTTTGAACTATATACAAGAAATGAACATATAGAAAATCTAAAATCAAATTTATGTTTGTTATATAGGTCTTAATAAAGGGTACCAAGCACAACCTGAAACTTTTAATAAGCGATTTTTAAGTTTCTCCTTGATTTCTTGATTTTTAGCGTAACAATGGTTAGGATATATAGAATTCAAAAAAATTGATATTATCTTGAGGAAATTTGCATACACTAATTAAATCTTTAGTAATGCTTGGAACATGTAAAAATTTATCAAGAGAAAATCTTGTTGCTGTATGTGGTAAAGAAAAAATGACAAATCAATATGTTTAATTGAGAAACATGAGCCATTACCGATTTTCACCATGTCAGAGAAGGTCATGTATTGTGAAGGGTGTGCCAAGTAAGTTGGGTTCATTATCTTCAGAAACTAAAGAAAAAAGATTATATGTATTACATTTATATTTGGTTGTGTTTCTTTATTAAACCCGAGCTAATTAATAGAGTAGTAGATCAATTCAAAGAAGATAAAATATAATCATTAAGGGATTGATGGTTAGTAATAACAATCAATTTCAATAATATATACAGAGAAGAAAACGAGAATAATCATGAATATTATTCAAGAAAAAATAATTTAGTAGTAGTAGATCTGGTAAATTGTCATCCAACAATATTGTTGCTATTATTTTTACTTTATTTGCTTTATATAATTTCTATTTATAATTTTTTATGTATTTATTTTTTTAGTTTTATAAATCAGAAATATCATGGTGAACTTTTATAATTATTATTTTAAATATTAAGCAATGGATAAATTAAACAAATATCTTATATCTCCATATCCGTATCTTGTCACTGTTTTGCAAATAGTATTTGTTTATTTGGTTTCCATGGTTATTGCGGCCACTCTACTGATATTAGTGCAGAACTTCTGTTTGCAGATAGTTTGGAAAAAAGGTTATCAAAATATCAAGTGTAAAAATCAAATAATACTATTCTTTTTTTATGAATTGTATTTTTGAAATAAATTAGTTTTATAATATAGTACTAGAACTTATTCTATTAAGATTTGCTAAATCTTTCGTATAACATTGAAGCATTCATAGATATTTAGGTAATGTTTAAAACTTAAACCTACCTTTTTAATATTTCTCATACTTTTTGAAAGTTGTGTATATCTATTGTGTGTGTGTTTTTCTTTTAATTCAAAAATAAATAAGATATCTGAAGTTATTTTGTCTTTATCTATTTAAACATAACCTGAATGTAAATTACTTGATAAAAAGAAAGGGGGGAACATTATATATTGCGCTAAGACTGGCCTTTAATTAAACTCCAAGCATCATAATAAGTTTGTATTCTTTTCATGAAAAAGGGAAAACAGAAAACTTGGATGGAAGATGGAATATGGCAGATAAATTAGCAAAACTGGTTTTGAGACGTGACATATAGTGGTTAAAACATAACACTATAGTTTAAGATGAGGTTGGTGCATCCACTTTATATAAAGAACGATACTTTTTAAACTCAACTAAAACTCCTTATGATTCTCTGTTTGACAAAACACCAAAATCCCGTTTTAATTTAAATAGAAACAATTCAAAAAGAAAACCCATTTCGAGTAACACATTGCTTTCCAACATCAAATATGTTCTCAATAATTAATTTCAGTTTGGCGCACTCTGATCAGTTTGGTTAGGACAAGACTATAAGGAGACAACTTCTTTCGATCACAATTGCATTATAACACTTAAACTTAAAATTATTAGTTAAAATAAATTAAACTCGTGTGAACTCGTTTAGCATGTGTTTGTTTGCGAGACTGACCACCACAAAAATGACAAAATCATTTTGAAAAACTCAAAAAGTTTTCTTTCAACAACACCATTTCAATAAATGGACAACGTATGCATATACCATCTCTATCTAACTCGTAAAAAACTGAGAATGACAGCTTTTGCTTTGTACGTACAACATCCGTCGTAAAAATGTCATTACAAACATTTCCGAGTGAGAATTGACATGGAAGAGCTCAATTGCTTTTGTTCTCTTCCTAGAACAGAAATTAGAAGAGGGTCCCTTGAAAATTGCAATTCATGGTTATATTTATGCCATCCACAGAGTAGGTTCAAAAAAGTTGACAGCTCCTAAGATACGCAACAAAGACGAAACTTTAGACTTACTGATACGGTTGGTTCAACTTGATCTCTCTCGCGAATTAATTCCTTTCAACGCTGCAAATTTTAGATTAGATTCACTTTCAAAACATGCGTGTGATTTCAATATACACATAGTACTATGCTCTTGACTTCCAACTATGAATTAACTTGTACTGTACGTAGTTTAATTAATACCTGTTAGTTATTCTCAGTTCAATCATCATTGCATTCAAGAAACTAGAAAAAGAGATAAGTCCGTGTCCTTGCCATCTTGGCTGCAATGATTTCTTACTTTTCCTCCCATATTATAACTCTGTTTTTCTTCTTTATATGAAAATAAAAACAAAGTTGTACGGGATGACCGCGCACTCTTGGTCAGCTATTAACCGAATTATTTACAACAACACCACGCAAAGACTTGAATCAAGCAACTGACCGACCAAATCCAAGAATAACCGAATGGTTATAAAATTTAAACACTTTGAGTATTATTCATAATTAAGTTTACGGATAAGTATGACTACTGATTATTCAAGCATGATTATACTAATTATAAGTCAATTTCAAAATTTATAAATATAAATATAAAGTGAGAAAGTAACTTAAGTTTAAGTTTAATAGTGACTTGAGTATGGAAGTATCACTTGTAAACGAAACATACTTTTACAAATATATCTTTATACACAGTTTGGAGACTGAAAATAATTTTATAACTAAGATCCAAACGATATTAAAAGAATTAGAAAAATTGTAAAAGAGTATTTTGATTAAGATTCCTAATATATCACCAGAAACAAAAGTTAAGCTTTCTAAAAATAAATCAAAAGAGTTGAAGATATTTCCAAAATTTTCATTCTTCTCGACCAAACATGATACGAATTAATAAGTACAACCAACAAAAACATAAATATAAAGAAAAACAGGTGTCATAGTAGATAAGCAATTAGCCGTCATGTCATGATTAGAATTTTTGTTGTGGATCTTAAAATTTAGGTTTAAGGAGATAAGGTTAGATAGGTTGGAAGAAGGGTTTTATTTCATCTTAATCATTTATGATCCTAAATCTAGGCCCCTCCCTACGTTGCCATTACCCACCTCACAAGTAGAACAAACAGAAACCTAAAAGAGGAATTCAACGTTTGAAGTACTATAGCAAGCTTTCGATATTTCACTCTGTTAATTTATTATCAAGTCAAAGTCTTCACCACTCACTCTTATCCTAAAACGCACAACACAAAACCACCAAACTAAACCCCTCCTCTCGACTATAAGTACCCACCACAATTATTTTACTTTCCAAAACGTGACACTCCAACCAAGCACTCCTCTTCTCTCTCTGTAAAACACCATTCTCATCAACCTCTACCTTCCCAATCCTTTCCCTTCGCTTCCACATGACACGCGCCCTCAGACTCCTCCAGTCCCAAGCGGCGCCACCTCCTGAGGCTGCCGCCGTCGAGTCCGACTTCGTCGTCATCCTGGCGGCGCTCCTCTGCGCCCTCATTTGCGTGGTGGGCCTCGTCGCCATCGCGCGCTGCGCCTGGCTCCGTCGGGCAACATCTTCCGTCGTCGGCGGTGGATCTCCGCCGGCGCCGGCGAACAAGGGACTTAAGAAGAGAGTGGTGAATTCATTGCCGAAGTTTACGTACGCCGGCGAAGGTGATCGCTGCAAGTGGTCGGAGTGCCCGATCTGCCTTAATGAATTTTCCGGCGGTGACGAGGTCCGTGTGCTGCCGCAGTGCGGGCACGGGTTCCACGTGGCGTGCGTGGACACGTGGCTCTCTTCGCACTCGTCGTGCCCCTCGTGCCGCGCGCCTTTCGTAGTCGCCCGATGCCAGAAGTGCGGCCACTTCCCGGCGGTCGCAGCCGAATCCAGCGAACCGGAGACGAAACCCGGTGGCGGCTGCAATGCCGATGATAATCGTAATGTAATTGTTAACCACGGGTTTAGTAATTACGGTTTCTTGCCATGAAATCCGTTCATGTTATAGATAAAACACGACGTCGCTCTGGCCCAGCTTAATGCTTATTACTGTTGTTATTATTATCATTAGTTGAAATTTAGGAGTAGCATCTTCCTTTTGTAATTTATAAAGAGTCTGGTTTTTTGCGGGATGAGTAAGAGTACTACCTTTTTTCTGTTTAAGGATTAGTTTCAGGGAAGGATTAAGGATTTGGATCGTCTAGTTTAATTTGAAATTGCTCAAGTATTGATTTTAAATAAATTATTACATAAGTTAATAAAGTAATCACTCATAACGATTTAATAATTATTAATATGGTAACAAAATTATTATACTGTCGTGTTTTAATTAAATTTAAATGATAATTGGTATATATATTTAGAATAAAATTGAAAATTATTACTAAAAATGAGTTATCAATATTTTTTACTCATAATAATGTAAAATCGATTAACAAAGGGGGGGCTTATTTGGAAAGAATGAGAGAAAAATGATTTTAGAATGGAAGATGGCTTTTGTCAATTATTTTAAGAAAAAAATGTTTTAATAAGTTTGATTAATTTTTTTGTACTTGTTACATTTTTCTTCTAAATTAGTGTCTACTAAATTAATATTTTTATTTAAGTTTCTAAATTTAATTTATATATATATATATATATATATTAACTTATATGTTTTTAGTCTCTTAATAATGTATTTTCTATTGTGAATTAATTTAACAAATAATTTATTAAGATACGTGAAAAGGAAAATTCACATTAAATTTATTGGATATTTAAAATAAAAGTACAAATGGTATTTAACTCTAAAAACAAAATAAAAATGTCGTTTAAGGAGAGTATTAGTATGGTGGACATCAAAGCAATCAACATCTAAATAAATTGGTGAAGCAGGTGGACAGACAGGTGTAGAAAAGATAGATACAGAGCATGCCATGCATGTGATCCAACAAAACCAGCCAACAAAATATACACAATGCATTTGTGCAAACAACAAACCAGTGCAGTGGTTTTCAAAATTTCTGTGTGTGACGACTCGTCTCTGCATATATCCTGCTTTTTGTTTTCTTCTGCATATACATCTCAGACCATAAAACCCAGTTTAGTTTAACTAAAAACATATCACTGCAAATTCTTCCGTGAATAGGCCAAGTTCAAAGTCTAACCAGAAATTAATGGGTATTTTGTGACACTTATATATTGGCTTTTAAATTCCATAAATCTCAACAATAATTATGAAAATTTGGATTTAAGCTTATGATTCATTTATAAAAAACAAATAATACACTTTTTGGTATTGTTAGACATCATATATGAAAAGATAAGACGCCTTATAATATAAAAATGAAAAAAATAAAATTAATTTTAGTATTGTAAGATTGAGTTTCACTTAAATTTTTTTTTTAATATAATGTTAAAATTATAATGAAAATTTATCTTACTAAAATTTGTTATCTATGATATTATTTACTATTAGATTATTAGTTCTTATACGACTAAAAATAAAGATAAGATTATAATATATAATAAAATACAAATGTCATTTTATAATTGAGTGATTGAATTAAATTTAACATCCACTTCCAACACAAATATCATTTTAAGATTTGGTATGGACTTTAAGTCATGTTCTTATTTAGTTTTTTATCGTCTAGGTTGAAGTAGTCTTTGACCTTAATTTTAAGGTGTAGAAATTCTTCAACCAATAGCTGGAACTACTAGAATACCATATGTAGCAATTGGGTGCGTGAAGGAGAATAAGGTGAATGAAATGAGTCAAAGGAAAATTTGAATTAATGATGAAAGATGCATTGGGAGCATGCGGAGGTAACCACGACCATTAGTTTATGAAGCATTGTGCAAGAAGCTTAATTTCCACTACGTGTGGAACTCCAGTGCATCTTCATTAAACAAACGGTGAGAAAAAGGGAGTGCCCAAAAAGAACGGTGCATGAAGGTTAAAAGGGAAGACAAGACAAAGAAGGGACATAAAGGAAGTGGAAATGGTTATTATTTTGATGGAGTTAAGAAAAAGATGAACAAAAATTAAAGCATATATAGATGCTCTTCCTTTCTTGCTTGCATCTATCCTAATTCCCATTCATTAAGATATTTGTTAATGGAGGGACTACGGGAGTTCCACAGCATTAATGTGGCATCTTCAAACACTTTTCTTCTCAGGTCCCACACACCATTATAACCTTCCTAGGTTATCTTTTTTATATTCTCCCCTCATGTTCGGCTTTAGTGTGAACACATCATTCACCGTGTAACTTCAACGTTCAACATTGTTTAATTTCACTTGGGTATACCTTTTCCTACTTTTTCACTCACACAATCCAACATATATGCAGCAACTCGTTTCCTCTCATCATACGCTACGTACGTTTTCTCTTCTCACTCCCCAAAAGTACGGATAGTCAAATGTCTCTTTATTGTTTATTTATTATTATGCTGATATTCTTTAACACTCTGTTTTTATATAAAGAAAGTACCCATTCAATACTCTGTTTTTATTCAACTTAACAGATAATACTCTCACTTCTATTTCTATGCTGACCAGCAGAAAGTAAATCATATTGCGTGGTTTTCATATTGCGTGGGGAAAAATGAGTTTCAAAAATGGGTTCCATGTTCTGCAGTGTGGCATGAAAAAAGATTCTAATTTTAGAAGAGATTTTGCAACAATTTTCAGCAGTTACAGGTGCATTAAATTAGCATTACAAAACCCTAAAACCAAAAGTATAATAATCGACTTTTAGAGAAAACCAACACATTCAGTTCTCAGAAATTGATGAATGAAATATTAGAAATTACGTTGTCCTGTATCTTCTAAGTGAAGTCCCAGCTGAATTTTATGAATTGTTGACAGAATTCGAACAGGGACAAAAACGAGTCCTAGACTTCGGTTTGAAGTTCTGCTTTTTTTTACAACGTTGTTTTTCAACGAGTAATGAAACTGAGAGATAAAAGCTCTGACTCAGTTTCATGATTCCTGCTCAAAATAATAAGATTTCTGCATTTCAAAGAAAAGGGTTATATTGTTTTGTATTCTTGAAGTATAAGAAATTCGGATTCGATTAATTTCTATAATATTACTAAAGGATCAACTATATATGCATTAACCAAAGCTTTGGTACCAATTATTAAAATTTTTAAAAGAAAATTTGAATCGTATGAGCTACAAAGTATAACATGTTCTCATGAAACAGTTAAGGAATTGTCTGAAGCGAATGAATAACAACTATTTCAATAAAAAAAATCTTTCCATGAGGAACTCAGGCTCTGGTTGCCATCAGTGCGTTTCATTCAGGCCTTGCACCAATAGCAAAGAAATCAATGATGACTTCTAAAGGCATGCCCTTTGTTTCAGGAACTTTCAAGTAGACAAATATCCATGCACCGATGCACCCAATTACGAACAATCCAATGACCCCGGAAAGGCCAAGGATTTGGAGCAAGAAGGGAAATGAAGAAGTCACTATTAAGATGCTGATCCAGAACGTAAGGGAGCAAATAGAAATGCATATCCCACGAACACTTGTTGGGAAGATTTCTGAACACACGATGTTGGGAATCGCACCCAATCCCATGACGAAGCAGCTTTCGTATACCATCACACTCAATGCAGTCACTATTGCATTCGCGGTAGCACTCATGTGAAATAAGTTCCGGAGTATTAGTACCATCAGAGACACTATCAGAATGGGTATTGTGTATAACATTATTGCCCTGTCATCACAAAATATACAATGCCATTGTTACATTTTTGTTTTTCTTGCACTGATAAGATGGAGCCAAGACATTGTCTCATTTTTACTACATTTTACTTTTTATAAAAAAAAAAAAAAGAAATTGTGAAAAGACAACAACGAAATTCAAGCTTACCTCCTGCCGGCAACATCCATGAGCCTCATGGAAAGGGCAATACAAGGAAGCATTGCTAATGTTGTAACGATATTTACGAGTAAAGAAGCAGATGTTGAACTAATACCGAGATTTGACAGCAGAGCTCCAACACCTGCCTGGTCAAGAATCTGGGGAGCATAGTATAGAAATCCATTTATGCCAGCAGCCTGCAACACAATTTTTTAAGGTCATATTTTAACTAGAAGCTTGTAGGGTATGGTCATACCAATTAGTAATTTGGCCCTGTATTGCCAACTTATAGAGAAGAAAATAAATAAATAAAATTAAGCAAACCAATTTTGTAAGGTATAAGTTGTTGTCAACATAGGAAGGAAGTGTAACTTTAACTTGTTATCTTTTCTTTCGGGGTAAGTGTTTATCAAGAAGTTTTTCCAGTAACGAAGGATCTCAATTTGGTTTACCTGCTGAAGAAGTTGTAGGCCAACTCCAACACCTAATGCACGCCTAACTCCTATATCAGACAAACCACCAAAACCTGTACGTTTGGCAGCATTTTCTGGTTTCATGCTTATATTCTTAGGACAGAGAACTGAGTGGCTGACAAGTGCAGATGCTTGAAAAGTCTCAGTTCCATCTGCATTCAAGTCATAGCCATCATAAAATGAACCTTGAGCCGATCCAGCATTAGGATCTGCACGCAGGTAAACCCTTTGGAGCCCCTTTTCGTTTCTTCCACCATCGGCTGATTTATAAACCAATTTCCAACCTCCACCAATGCTAGTGCTCTTGGGTAGTTGGTTGGCATCATTATTCCCTGTTCCTAATGCATCCTTGGATCCAAAAGCCTTGTCCTTCTCAAAAGCACTGCCTTGTGCTGAAAGCAATGGAGCATTCAAATTGTCAGTGCTCTGAAACGTGTCTCCCATTAGCATGGCTCTTGAACCACCCGAATCAAGGGGCGGGGGATTGACATCATGGACGATCCCGAAGAGATTGACTAGAGGGTCTTTGAGATTTTCAGCCTGAGCAACAATGCTTCCATGGCGAGACAAGGTTAACATGCTCCGAGATATCATGCTACCTTGTCCACTCACCTGTTGGGCAACCATTGAAACTCCTCCTTGGTTAGGTCCATAGAGCTTTATGCAATCTCTCCCTGCTTCCTTGTTGGCCATGAGGTCACTGGCAGGTGTTACTATGTACTCTTCTATGGTGGCGCTTTCACCCGCTGGACTCATTCCCTCAGCAAGCAAAGCCAGTTCCCCTATACATCAAACCAAACTCCAAATCAATATCCGTATTGCCATGTTATGAATATTGGTGTTGAACATGTTTTAAGAGATTAAGATGCAGATGGGACAATATCACCTGAAACATCTTCACTGTTGCGAAGTCTTTGCAGAACTTTCTTAGCCTCGGTGACTCTCCCTTTACTAACAAGCCAAGGAGGAGATTCAGGGAGATAAAACACAGCTAGAAGAAAATAAGCAACAGAAGGAATAGACACAACAGCGAGCATTGCTCTCCAACTTGGAGAATCGACCAAGGACAATGAGAAGACCATGATGTAGGCCAGAAACATTCCCCCAGAGCAGGAAAACTGTGGGAGAGTGTTGAGAGTGCCTCTGATGTCAGGTGGTGCTATCTCTGATATGTAGAGAGGAGTGAGTGTTATGGAGAGTGCAAGGGCTATTCCATCCAATAGCCTCGACAACAGAACCACAGTAACATTGGGGGCCCATAGCATCACCAAACCGCTAAAGAAAAACATGATCGATGATGCTATCAGCATCGGACGCCTTCCGAGCATGTCAGAGACTGTCCCAGAGAATATTGTAACAACAGTGCCAGTGAGAAATGATGTGGACATAATCAGACCCTCTAGTGTGGGGTTAGTCTCCAGCTTGAACTCTTGTTTTATGTAGGTCATTCCCCCTGCATGCATGCATGCATGTTTCTTTGTTGAATTTCGTAATCAGATATAATGCAAATTTCATTGTATGTAAAAATGCCTACAGAATATGTGATGATTGAATAACAAAATAAAATATACAATAAGAAAGATCTTTGATAAAATAGGAGTACCTGCAATGGTTGAACTATCCCATCCAACCAGAACATTCCCAACTGTTGCAGCAATGGCAACAATCACAACCTCCCTCATTGTTTTTGTTGGCTGATGAGAACGTAATTAACAAAATACTCCAAATGCGGATCACAATGTGGGTGGCATGCATGTATATATATTCAAATAAAAAACTTGGAGTGTTATTCGTCAGAGATGCGTATCTGCAATGAAAAAAGTCATAATTCAGATAGTAGAGCTGTGGCAACAATACCAAACTCTGAGCATGTTCTAAAGTGTTTGCATTTTTTAGTTTTAGTTAATTTGTTTCATACGTTTACGGTTTTCGTTAATGTGTCCAAAGTTTTTAAGGTGCCCTCAAATGTCTGCATTATCTATGGTCTGGAAATGAAACTGTTGAAGTGGGATTGTGTTGGGTTAATTGGTTGAAAGTCAAAGGACCAGTGACAACACCAAATTTCTTGGAGGAATGAGTCTTTCATGTTCGTGACATGTTATTGAAAACGAAACCTCTGCAAATTTTTGTGGGGGAGCGCCATGATTATAGTTTACTATTTTGGAAACACCAGGGTGTTAGTGATTAGCACTATAATAGGATCAAAACATGTTTTTTTTTTTAATTATTATTATCGAATTAGATAAAAAAAAAAATTAAAATTACGTTTCATAGACAAGTCTTATAATTCCATGATTTTAAATGAAGTTATGAAGAGCGTGCATCACTTTAGTTCTAAACATTTTAAAAGATAAAGTTGCAATTGCTTATGTAATGCAAAAATAGTTAGGAAATGCACCATTTATGTAATTTGAATTACAATACATTGTAATTGATTACAATATTAAGATATACTTAAGATAAGATATAATTGATTATTATTACAAGTATTTATTCATTTTCTCTTATTACTATATAATTGATTATAAAGGATTATGATTTAAATTTTAATTATAATTTATTATAATTAAGATATAATTGATTAATTTATAATATCTTAATTTATTACTGTAATACATGCAAGTAATTATAACAAATAAATAAGCAAATACTTATCCAAAAATTTTATTTAAGGAAGACAATTCAAATTTATTAAATTTTATTTGTTTTGAAATAATATTACAATCACTACCAAATATAGAAATATTGAATGCAAAGATAAAAATAATTTTGTAGACATTGGTGAAAAATAATTATTACAAAAAATAATTTCATTATCACAAAAAATCTGAAAAATGTTAAGAAAAATAGTTCAAATTTATATTAACCAGTCAATTACTCTAATAATGTCAACAAAAAATCAACATTTGTTGAATTAGAAAATGTTTGAAAAATAATTTCAAAGATAAAAAAATACTCTAACCAGAAAATAATTCGACCAATAGAAAATACTCTTCACATTTTGTCATACTTTACAGATTTTTTTGATCATTAGTCAAATAAGATGAAAGTTGGGAAAAAACGGTTTAATTTTCCAGAAATATTTTAAGATTTATCAATTTTTAAAATTATGGAGATAATCAAACAGAACAGAAAACAGATTTGGATAAAACGTGATTTAATGGTCAGGATTAATATATATATATATATATATATATATATATATATATATTAAGATTTAAATATTATATCATAAATGTTTTTATTATATTCTCATCATAAAAAAAGTTATATACTTAAAAATAATTTTACTTTATAATCGAATTATAAACTATAATATTATAAGATATAATTAATTATAGTTAATTATATCTTAATCATAATTAATTATAATTAAAACTTAAATTATAATTAATTATATCTTAATTTATCCAATTTTTCTTTTGTTGTAATTGATTACAATATTAGATAATCCGAACTACATACACTGTTTATAAATTATAATAAATATATAATCGATTATACTAAACTCACTCATAGCCATTTCAACATTAAATAATGTATTATAATTACATATATAAAAAAAATGTGAGAAAGTACATGACTTTACCTTTAAAAATTGTTCTAAAGTTGTGACCGTGCACAACTTTTTTATTTAAAGTTGCGTTAGAGTTGCACAATTTATCTACAAACATAAGTTTAAAATTTTTTGCCTACTTCTCTAGTAAGACAAAAAAATTTGCCTATAAACGAAAAAAAACCCTGAAAACATAGCATGTTACCATTAATCCATCAAACAATTTTTTTAGCATAATTAATGTAATATAGGTGTGTTGTTTAATTAAGTCTTGCCTTAAGATGGTTGAATTCAGAGTTAAAAGGTTCTATATCATCTAGTCTACGGGTTGAGATCAATTTAAACAACTTTTATTTAAAAGAGAAAATGTAAACATTAAAAAAGAGAAATTCCATTTATTTCATTAATGCATAAATTAAACTTTAATATGGATAAACTTTAACGGTATAAACTATACATTTATTTAGCATAAATTAGTTAATTAAAACATAAAAGTAAACAAATAAAAACAAAAACGGGTGTTACTCCATCCACCCCCACACGTCTCTTCCTCCACCTCCCCAATTTTCTAAAATGCCAATTATATCCTTCTAAAATGACAATTATATCCTCAAAAGTTAAAATTTTTTATTTTTATTATTTTAATATTTTAATTTATTTAAAACTTCTGATTTACTTCCCTCTGCACCTCTTCCTCTCTTCCATTTTCGTTTACCTTTCTCTCTTCCGTTAAGCTTCTTCTCCACCTATAACAAATTCATATTTTAACAAATTCATATTTTAACAAAATTATTACGTTTAAAAACTAACCATATATAACATTTAAAATTATAAATTTAAATATAAATTACTGTAAATAAAATAAACAAATAAAATAAAAACGAAACTGCCATTCTTCAACGGATGTCAACATCCGTTGAAGGCAAAACGGATGTCGACATCCGTTTTGCCTTAAACGGATGTCGACATCCGTTTTTCCTTAAACGGATGTCGACATCCGTTGAAGGATGTCATCCGTCCATAGGCAGTGTTCCTTTTACGTTTCGTTTTTATTTTACTACGTTTTGCGGCTCATGCAAGGATTATAGGCTTGGATATTAAAAGGATTATTGGAAGTATGGGAAGGATTTAGGGTTTAGGATTATTGGAAGGATTATGACTACGTACCTGGAGAGGAACCACGACAAGGACACTACACCATAAACGCACTGCACCACGTACTGCACCGAGAACAAGAAGAAGATTGTTTGATAATTCTTTTCACGATCACCAAGCTTTGTAGAAAAATATTTTACTCATACAAGAAACTACGTAGGTTATCAGTGAAATATGTTATAAATGAATAAAATTAAAAAACAACAATTTTAAAAATAAAATTTTACTGAGGGACAAAATAGTAAAGGAAAGGTGGAGGAAGGGGCAAAATAGTAAAGGGGAGGTAGAGGAAGAGATGTGTGGGGGTGGAGGGAGCAACACCCAAACATTTTCTCTGCATGTTTTGTACAACGGCCCAATAGTATTCACGAAAGCCCAATTGGCTCGAAAAGTAATAGAAGAAAACAAAAACCAACGAGGGATGCGTGTGCAAATGCGAGCTTCTCTTCTCTCCAAGCTCTGTTGCCGTTCCCTCTTCCTAGCTGCAATTGTCAAACTCTTCACCACCAGGAAGAGGTAACAGCAGCCCACACTGCGTCCCCGCGCTTCCTTCTTTTTTCGCAACGCCGTCGTTTTGCTACCATATCTATAGTTAACACAGCTTCGATTTTTTTTTCTCAGCGTTGCCAACGCGCTTCTGTAAGCGTTCCCCGTTTGATTTATATTTGCGTTTTGTGGTTTTCAATTTATTCTACGTGTCGTGTGTTTATGCATTTTGGGATTACCATTTTTTGTTTTTGTGGTAGGTCTGTTAGGGTTTGGGTTTTGGAAGAGCATGGTGAGGGTTCGGGTGAGTAACACGAAAGAATTTTCCGTAGTGGAGAAAGGTGGTTACAGTGATTCACAGTTTGTTAGTCACTTCAAAGGTGTAGTTGTTGCAGTCACAAAGGTAAGCTTGGTAACTCACATACATACGAAGAACAATTTAAAATGACTGTGTTATTTTGTATTACCCGTGCGTAATTATGCATCATTGACAAATGGAAGAGGCCAAGTTTCTTCTACATACTCCCTAGAAAATATTTAGTTAATTCACACAGAAATGATATTTTAACTCTATGTGACTTTTTTAAAATTAATTTCTAATTATTTTTTGGTTGTTGATGAGGGAGTTTTTTTTCTCCACCGTGGCTACGAAAATTTCAAACTGGCATTGGTGCAATGGCTTCCATTTCCTTGATTTTGTCTTCCATTTCCTTCCTTACATTGATTTCTTTGTTTCATTGTTTTGTCGTAGGATACTTATAATCCATATTTTTTTGTTATAGTTAGGGTTAAATATCAGGTAATTGGTGAATGATTGGTGGATATGTTTATTTTCATACTTTGTAGTTGAACAAAGTTTGAAACAGAGTGAAGTGGTGAGTAATTGTTGTTTGGAATCTCATTTTCAGTTTTTTTACAATAAACATGGTATGTGTAAGTTTTTTATGATGTTCTTATTTGACTGAGTTGTTGATTTGTGATTTGTGGCTCATCATTTTTTAACGAATAGGATCTGTACAAGTGATGAGCGGTAACATTGCACATACATAAAAAAAAAGATAAATGATGATGTTTAATTTGAAATGGTCGATATATTTGTCATAAATAATTTTATATTATTGAACAAGTAATTGTACGTTTTTTTTTATTGTATTATAGTTTCGACTTTGTAATTGGTGTGATCATACATCTGGTTTAAGGATTGGAGACTCACCTTTTAAATGGTTTTGTCTTTTTTGGTTGAAGGATGAGTTCTGTTGCTTATCTTGCTAGTTATCTGTGTCGTGCTAAGTTCCTTCCCGCTGCATTGGTCACTACGATCATTCACAGGTTTGGAAACATCCTTAGTATCCACTGTTCATTTATGACTATAAAGTTTATTTTCTTTTGTAGTAAAATAAACAATATGTTATAAATTGATTTTATGGGCTTTTGTTGGGATTTCAGCTTGGTTGATTGGTGCTATGCTTATTGCAAATTACGTGATTTTGATATGAACCCACGAGCACATCAAGTTTTTTATTCAGGGTGCCAGGTGAGTCTTATCACATTTGACCTTTTGTTGGGAGGGCTGTAAAGGTGATGCCTTTTCATGTTATAGCCACTATCATTTTCTTCCAAGTATTCTTAACTTGCTCATTATGTCTTTTTTGGTGTAGCAGGCCATTATGTATATTCTGTGTTTTCGCTTTAGATCTTCAATGGACATTCCTAGGCTTAAATTGCAACTTAATATACCCATGGAGCGCTTTAGATCTTCAATGGACATTCCTAGGCTTAAATTGCAACTACATAATATACCCATGGATAAAATCTGGAAACATAAATTGAGTCCATTAAATGTGAGGGACTTGTTAGTTTTCATGGTCAGGGTTTTTAATGATAAATGTCGGGTAGATGGTTTTGTGTATAAAATGATAAGGCTTGTATTAAGGCCTAAGTAGGATAGGATTTTCCCTAAGTTAGATATCTAAACCAAGTATAAAGTGTGTCATTTTCCATTGGAGAGGATTTGCTTTTTAAAAGTTAGCCACATGGCACCCTAGGAGTGGAGATGATTTCTTTTTGGTAGTGGCCACATGTCCTTCCACTATTGGAGAGAATTTACTTTTAGTAGTGGCCACATGACACTCTAAGGATGGAGAGGATTGTTTTGTGAGTGACCACATGTCCTCTCATCATTGGAGAGAGTAGAAGGCCTGATTTTTGGCCATTGAGAGCAAATCTTGGAGACACCCTTGGCCTATATATAGAGGTGTCTCCATCCTTGTATTTCATCTTGGAAATTAGTAATGTTATGTTGCCAAATTGTAGCCTCATTCTAGTATTGATCAAGGAAGAATGAGCTACCATTTGGCAGCATTACATTACTAATTTCCAAGATGAAATACAAGGTGGAGACAACTTTATTTATAGGCTAAGGGTGTCTCCTTCTATTCCTAAAAGCATGATTTCCACCTTTGCTCTCATTGGCAAAAAATGAGGCCTTCTAACCTCTCCAATTATGGGAGGACATGTGGCCACTCACAAAACACAATCTTCTCCATTCTTAGAGTGTCATGTGGCCACTACCAAAAAGAAATTCTCTCCACTTCTAGGATGTCATGTGGCAACTACCTTTTAAAAAGCAAATCCTCTCCAATGGAAGCATGACACACACTTTCCACTTGGTTTGGATATCTAACTTAGGAAAATCCTATGCTACTTAGGCCTTAATCAAACTACATGGTCAAATACAAGGCCTAAATAAACCTACATTACTCTTCATGATGACCTATGAGAAAGAGTTTGCTTCACCTTGCATAGATGATTCTAGCTTTTTCTTAAAAATGCTTGGGCCATGACTAGGGGTATTCCATCATCCCCTCCCTCTTGAAAATACTCTCCTTGAACCTTCAAACTACACACCATCATCATCCTATCACTAAAATCCGTGAGTCTGTCACCACACAACCATCATTTTCACATCATATCAGCCTTTTCCCATCCATTTCCGCAACCATTTCTATCATAGGGACCATCTCCTTGCTTCCTCCAAAGCTTTGGTCCAACCTAGCTCAAGGAGGTTGCCATCAAGAAGAAAATAATGAAATGACTAATCTAATATGGTTGATATTAGGGGTGAACAAAATTACCTGAAGATGAACTGAACTATTTTTTGTTCCATCAAATTACACTAAATTTGATGTGAACTAGTTTATATAACAAGAATTCATACCAACCTTAAATTTTCTGCTGCATTCTTTTAGTTTTCCCTTTATTTTTTAATTTTTAACAAATATAATTTTAGCTTTTATCTGAAATTATTGAATTCTAACAAAACATGTTAATAGAAATATCATTCTTAGGTATTACAGAGGATATAATTCTTAAGACTACAAAATCATATTAGGGAACAAAACTAGCCCGAGATTTTTAGAACTACTATGGTTCCGTATTAAATGACCCCAATCGGATACAGATAGGTTGAAAAGAAGAATGGCAACTATCCAATAGAACCCCAGACCAAAACAGAAGACGGGCTCTATATTTTACAATTATCATTATAGGTTGGGCATATGATTTTGCATGAAGTGAACTCCAGAAGATAAGAAGACAAGTCAGTACAAGTTACAACCATTCTCAATGGATTGCCAACTACACAGTTAATTTAATAGCCAAAAACAACTACCAAATAATTTCTACAATGAATAAATCAAATTATCTCGACTTTGATAGTCACTGCGACCATGCTTCCTAGTTAAAAAAGGGCAATTAATATGAAATACAAAGAATGGAAGATGTTTATATTACACTAACAAACTTGGTCACCCATGTAAGCTCCTCAAGTGTTGTTATTTTTCTAGAAGTGAAAAAAACAAACTGCACATTTTAACACAACCATCAGTAAGAAAAATATTCAATAGTCCACCACGGCAAAAAAAGATACTAAAAAGTACATATGGCACTAAAAGATTTAATAACTTCTCACATGGTAGTAATAATGACAAGGATCTCAACTTCAACTGGGATCTCAACCAAGTTTGCATCAAAACATCCAAGATGGCTGAGGAAAATTAAAACACTTACATGACAGTTTAATGATAAAATTATGCTAGACACACCTGCCCTTTACCCCTTTCAAATCAATCAGTAAATATTTATACTATAAAAAAATTCAATATTAAGATTTCGATAATGAACAAAATTTTTGCCAATGACATGTCATAAAAGAAATTTCAAACTAACGCTCAATGTATCTGATAAGACTAAGATTGATCACATTTAAACTAAATGAACTAAACCAAGCACACATTTAAAATAAGGAAACAGTTCAGCGAGTTCATTTGTCTTAAAGTTAAAATCCAAAGAACAATACAGGGACAACAAAAATTGTGAATGTCTCAGTCCACTCTAGCAAACAAGCACCCTTACATCTTTGTTGATAGGCCTAACCAAAATGATCTTCAATCATTCAAATTAATGGCACTTGAAGGTCCCACTTCATCTTGAGAGGTTATCTCTAAAAAAATAAAATAAAATATTTCATCATTTTTGAAAATTTAAAATATACTTAGAAAAATATAAATTTGTTATATAAATTCATCTTGTTCAAATTTATCGGTCCTTATCAAAAAGTAGATAAAGGTGTTTTTTTCAACTAATCTTGTATGCAAATAACTACTTCCACTATTTTAGGCATTAGACAACTATGGTAAGGACTAACTAACTTTCCTCCCATACTGAATGCACATGTTACAATAGATATGAAAATGACTAACACCTCTCGAACGTATTTGCAAGGATAGGAAATCTATTATAAGGTTCAGGATCCTTTCTTAAATATTTATCAAACTCTACATATATAATCAAATATACACCCTATACCTCTTTGGTAGAACTCATGCCATGAGGATGATCATTTTCATCTTCTAGTTAAGATTCTTGTTGGCTACTTTAAGAACCTCCTTAACACTTTGTTATTGTTCATAAAGTGTTTTTAAATATGACAATAATTTTTATTTCAATTCACTGGTCATACTAGATTGAAATGTATAGTCAATGAAGTAATTAACAAAATCTAACTTACTCTTATAGTCAAATACAACAACAATCAATAATAAGATATTAATTGCATTAGGATTTTCTTGATATTTTTCATACTTATCCTTCATTCTCATTGTTATCAATCTTATGCTCACATCATTACTCTAAGAATATTGTCGAATCTTTTTACCAATTCCAAACACATCCTTCATATACACATATACATATGATTGGTGACATAGGAACAAAAAATGCGTATGATAGTCATAAAACATCTTTAAAAATGGTAGAATAGACCTCACATATTCTCAATCTTCTTCTAATGGAACACCACCATTACTTTTGGTTATTTCAACACCAAATTTCTTATCATTCATATCTAGAAGACAAATGCATCTTTGTACTTCAAGTTTGCCTCTAACATTAGGTAAGTAGAATTTCACGTAGTTTCAATATCAAAACAAACAACATCTTATAGAAATTTTCTTTTGTTAAATACATGTCTTGAATCTAGCAAATCTAGTTGGAGAAGATTTCACATATTTAACTGCACTTCTAATTTTGAAATTAAATCTTTGATTTCTTTTAAGCCTTCATTCACAATCAAACTTAATGTATGAGCACAATAACACATATAGACATATTCTTCCTTTAAGACAAGACAGTTCCACGATAACATTATTTTTTTGAGGTACTACACCCCAACATCATTTGCTGTAGCATTATCCACGGTGATACTAAGGACTCTCTTCAACTTCTAATTATTCAATCTCAACATGTTTATCAATGAGTTGCCTTGAATGTTTTTTTGTTTGAGAAAAATTCAAAATACTTGAAGAACTTAGAAATAAAATAAAAACAGTATTTTGAAATAAAATAAAAATTTAAAATATTTGAAGACCTAAGACACATAAGTTCTTCAAGTATTTTGAATTTTTCTCAAACAATAGGACATTCAGAAGAGCTCATTGCTAAGCATATTGAGCCTTGTTTTTGAATAATTGGGAGTTGAAGCGAGTCCTTAGTATCACTGTGGATAATGCTACAACAAATGATATTAGGATCTAGTACCTCAAAAGAAGGATGTTATCGTGTAACTGTCTTGTCTTAAAGGGAGAATGTGTCCATATGCATTGTTGTTGTCTTATATTAAGTTTGACTGTGAAGAGAGCTTAAAAGAGATCAAAGATTCAATTTCAAAAATTAGGAGTGCAATTAAATATGTGAAATCTTCTCCAACAAATTTGCTAGATTCAAGGTATGTATTGAGCAAGAAAAAATTTCTTATAAAGGTATTGTTTGTCTTAATATTGAAACTAGTTGGAATTCAACTTATTTAATGTTAAAGACAAGCTTGAAGTACAAAGATGTCTTTGTCTTGCTAGATATGCAAGATAAGAAATTTGGTATGAAATGGACAAAAGTAATGGTAGTCTTCCATTAGAAGAGAATTTGAATATGCGAGGGTTGTTCTATCATTTTCTAAAATGTTTTATGACTCTACTATATGCATTTTTAGTTCTTCTTATGTCATATGTATATGAATGAAGTGTTTGGAATTGGTAGAAAGATTTGACAATATTATGAGAATAGTGATGTGAGCATAAGATTAATGGCAATGAAGACGAAGGGTAAGTATGAAAAATATTGGTGAAATCCTAATGGAATTAATATAATATCTTATTATTAATTGTTGTTGACTTTAATCCTGAGTAAGTTGGATTTTGTTAATTACTTCATTGAATATA